GAGGATGAAGAGAGCACATCCAGTTAGTCACAGTCAGAGAAACAGGACTACACTGGAAAACAGGCCAAGCTCCAACATCTAGAAACAAGGGTTCCTTAGATAGAAAACTTTAAATCAATCTGACTGGATGATCTGGCTGAATTGTAAAGTGCGTTGAGATGACATGATGTGAATTGGAGCTATAGAAATAAACTGTCCTGAATTGAATGATTATTATTTCCTAACTCTGCTATGAATATAAATAATTTGGAGCTCAGAACACCTGAGGATCTCCTGGCAGGTGGTGCTTTGTGCTGAAGCACATTTAGTGAACACCGCCTCTGAAAGCTCAGCTGTGTCTCTATATCTGTGGGCGCTGCTCATCCATCATCAACATCCAGCAGAGATGCAGCTCCGAAGCTCGGTGCAGCCGCTGGGCTGGCGGTGACGTCACTGCCTGCACGGGCCGGTAGAAAAACAACGTCATTAACACAGTGAAGCAGACTTCCTGATACCTGTGGAAGCCCTGCATTCAGAGGGCGTTAGGACCCAGCGGCTGCTCCGTGCGCCGCCTCTCTGACGCTCTGCAGGCAGACGTGCAGGTTGAAGCGGCGCTCCGGTGCTGAGGCTGGATGACGGACGGATCCCGGCTCCATCATCCGGTGCGGCGCACAACTGTTTGCTCCTCCTGCTCCTCATCCGGACCAACAGGTAGTCTATCTTTATCTTTTATTTATTTACAACAGACGTCTGTAGACAACACAGGTTTATGGACGGATCCGTTTACTGGTGCTGTTAATTCCGGGATGGCTGCGTGACTTTTTATTGATGTTTTAGAGGCAGAGGCTGCAGCAGCAGGGAAGGCGCTCTGATGTTTGGACTGAAGGTAGATCAGATCAGAATGTTCTCAACTCAGGAAGTCTGCTTTTAATCTCTGATGCTTTTATTTTGAAATGAAAACATTCAGCTCAATATGTTATCAGCTGAGGCTGAGGGGGTTTAATTAAAAACTTCCTCCAAGGTTTATTTAGAATGTTTTCTGCCTTTGCTCACAATTGGTTTCATTTTTGTTTT